GGTCATGGTTGAATGTGTAAAAATGTGTAAAAGTTCAAGGCATGAGAATAATTCTACACACTGGATCCCTATATCCAGATTTGATGAAAAAAAAAAGAAAAGTTGTCACTCGCAAGTACAGGTTTATGGCAAAAAGGCAATGATTGTGCTATATACTTCATATTTTTTTCATTCTTGCCTTTGACAATCACCAGGAATCAATTTTCACTTCATAAGGCAGTTTTTTTTCTTCACCATCTTATTTTGCTGAATGTAATGCACATTACCTTGCAAGATGATGAAATTCAGACAGAGCCAAAAGAGAAGAGAAAATTAAATTGGGGTTTAAGTTATTAAGATGGGACAAACTGATATTGGTCAAGCGACCGACGCTGTTGTAAACGAGCAGATGCAGAAACAGTGAAAAAGGAGATTGTGAGAGAGCAGTCAAAACACAGACTGACATCCGTCGCACTGGTGACAGCTTGAAGGAGGCGTGAAACGAGGCTGCCTGTCCACACCGGTAGATGGTGGCTCTGCATTATTATTAACAAAGCCCCTCCACCCTCAACCCTAATGCCTGTCGCAGAGTGAGAAATGTTAACTCTTGCATGCCTGAAACTGTATGGGACAAAGAGAGGAAAAAATGTGCATTACATTCAAGCTGTGAAGAGTATAAATAAAGAGAAGCATTCTTTGTTGGACTCTGAGGAGGCTGCAGACATTCACAGCCAGACATTAAGATGGAAGGGTAAGAGGCTGAGTCACCTTTGTTTTTTTTTAAAGAAAATACAGTCTGAATGATGAAGCACAAAGGACGAACGATTGATGGGAACTAGTGGGGGTGAGAGAGGATTCTAGATAGCACTGCTATGTGTAAATGTGAAATGTGTTGTAATGTGAAAACCCTTGATGTGTGGGGGAGGGAAAATGGTGAGAAGTGAGTAAAAAAAATGAAAAACGAGGGTTCAGGAAGGACAGAGGAAAGGAATATATTAAGAAAAGAAGAGACTATTTTCATACTGGGGGAAAAGTGCTTAACAGAGCCATGAACTCCTTTGGGGTTGGGGGGCGACATCTCACATGCACAACTGTTCTGGCGAACAGTTTTATTTTTAGCAACACGGACAAGGCTGAAAAACAGAAGTGGATAGATGCAAAATATGAAGAGGGCTCTTTAAATATTGATCATGTGGATTTCTGTCATCTTGCCAATTTGTGAAACGGGCTTTCAAGTAGCTCTGCACATAAAAAGAATTGTTCAAGTAAAGGCTCCAGATTTCTTGCTCTTGTTACCCAAATGAGCTGACTCTGTGCCCTTGAACTGACTGCTGACATTCTGTAAAAGGTTGCACTCAAGTGAAACAATGGCTTTCATGCTGACTCTCCACAGCATAGGGACGTGCATGTGCGTATGTGAGGAGGCGTGTCTCTCCCCCGCTCACTCCTCATGTCTTGGCCATGACTGCAGGGGAGGAGCCACGGTGGACTCGCTACCACCTTCCAGACAAAAGCAGTGTGAATTTGAAAACGCAGATTTGAGTGTGTGTGCTTACTAACATGCAAACAAAACACGCTGAGATTTATGTATATATTGACAAAAGTGGGCTAGGAAGTTGCTACAACAATACAGTTGTCAAACTAACTGTAGCAAATCTTCAACAAGTTCTAAGCCAGTGGGATTATTTGGTATTATTGTTGTTATTTAGGAAAAAAAAAATCACTTTATGTATGCAACAAATCTTCAACAGCTAGAAGTTTCTCTTTTAAGATAAGGACTGCTAATGTTATGCAGTTAGTTTTATTTTAACTGTATATTATTTTTTCCCCTTTTTTGTTTGTTCTCTTTTTGTGCTGTAATCCTTTCATGACAAAGCAACAGCAAAAAACAGATTGAGTCAAAGTCAATGTTGGTCAAACAATAAAGATTGATTGGTGAATATTTAATTCAAGAAAACTTTATAGCATGCACTAAGAGTCACACTGACACACTTTCTGTGTTTCTTCTCAGTTTTCACAACTGAACTCTTTCCTATCCTCCTTCTCCTTGTTTGCCCTTTAGAATATCCTTGAAGGTTGCACTAGTGTGCAACACTCCTGGGCTTTTCGACAAGCGTTCTTACCCGTAGAAACACATGTATATGACATCTGAAACAGATGGCTTCTGTAAAATACACACTCACAGACATGCACATTCGCAGCAGTGCACACTGTGTTCTTACTGAATTGATCGCAGCTGAGATATAGCTGAGGTCAGACATATTGTATCAATCATGCAAACGTCAGCATCCAGAAAGGCATGACAGCAGACAATTGAAAGGTCACTCACAGGCAGCATCGTGTCAGCCTACGCGTTAACATGACAGGAAGGGTTTGCTGAGGTTTAACAAAATGAACTGGATGATCCATAAATGTGGAAAGCTTGTGATACTGGAATCAATAAACACTATGAAGTGCACTTATCAGACACATTTTAATAAAAGGTTCTTAGTTTAACAAGTACCACCAGGCTTTAGTCAATGCAAAATCCTAAAGATGCCAATACAATAACTGGGGTGAAGTTGGTCTCAAATTGCTCTCCACAATCTCAAGGACAACATTATTATCAGAAACAAATCAACTATTAACAAGCATCATTAAGGTGTGAAACATATTCACTTGACCTTTGTTTGATGCTTCACGTCAACACCTCAGGTTCTCAGGGTTTTCAAGCAACACAATGAAGAGACTGAAAATAGTTTTGCAAAAGTGTCAGAAAAATCCAACAACCACAGCTTGGATTTTTCCTGCCTTAAAGAGGAAGGTATCAGATAGGAAGGTGAGGTTTTAATTAATGTCCTTCCAACAGAGCTGGATCAAGGTTGTATGAGGCCCTGGGCAGAATTTTGTTCACCTTAATTTAAGCCATTCACCCAGAACAGCTCAACCGACCTCCCTTTTGTATCGCCCTTGCTTTCTTTGTTTTCTTTGTTTTGTACATTCTCCAGCATTATATGCACAGAAAATGTTTTCCTGGCCCAAAGAGCTTTAAATTTCAGTAATTTCCAAATAGTCAAGGTTTAATTTCCAAATAGGTTTAGTATAGAGATGTGTATTGATACACTAAACAATTGTTTATTGTCAGATAAATATGGGAGATATGGGAGATTACTTTGTTTAAGATTCATTTTAAATATAGGGGCAGAACTTGTTACAGAAAAACAGTCTCAGCTGCTGCTACAGAGTGAGCACTCTGATGCTCAGCATAATCTTTTTTAGAGGTATTGTAATGTTGAATTGACAAAAATATAACATGAATATATATGGGTTTGTGCAAACATTTAGATCAATATAAACTGGGAAAAAACACATCTTTTACTTTACAACATAAAGGACTTGGAAAATTTGAGCTGCCTGTAAGACTATGTTCACACTGCAGCCTGAAGTGACCCAAATATGTTTTTTATGCCCTTGTGCGACCTGTATCTGATCTTTTAATGAGACTCTGAACAGAACAAATCCGATTTTTACAAATGCAACCCACGTGGTTCTAAATCTCATACGTATGTGATCTTTTCAAAGTATGACCTGTGTTTATGTGGAAAAAAGCAGGAAGAAAAATGTGGATTAAGTTGTTGATGCGCTGGCTCCAGTTGAACAACAACTTTAAAATTGAAAGATATTGTCCACTATTAGCAGACATGTTTGCTTCTGCAAACATTCAGCACAGTCTACATGTGATGTTACTGCTTCCTCTACTGCACATGCTTTAGGTTATTTGCAGTTCACACAAAACATCACATGGAAGTTGAATATATTTGAAAATGTGAACAACCACGCAAAAATGTTACAGATTTCACAGAAAAATCTGAATTGAGCATTAGGGCTTACAGCGTGAAGGTAGCCTCAGAAAACTTTGACACATGATTAAAAAAAATTGCAATGCAGAAAATATTGGGAAAGATCGCTCTTAGCTATGTACACCAACTGTACTATTTGCAAATAAATGTTGCTAAAGATCAAATGTTACTGGCTTTATTTGATTAAAACAGAAAACTATTTGTTTTTTGTGACTTCTCTCAATGTTTTTTTTTTCATTAACACAGTCACTGCAGACATAAAGGCATTCAAGAATTGTTCTGTGACTTATGATACAATCATCAGACTTATAAGTATTATTGCGAATAAAGGTATCAGCACAAAGTCCAGCAGTATAACTGATATATTCGTGAGCGTGTCAGTGTTTTTCTATTTAATTTATGATTATGAATATTTGCTGATTTTGAGAACCAGAACACCAAAAGTCCTGAATCAGATCATCTGCAGATCAATGTATTTTGTCACATGTACAGTTCAACCCAATTTCTTTGAGCCCCCCGACTCAGTGGTTGCAAAATTATACCCAGGGCCGAATCCTTTAAAATAAAAAATTTCAACATGGAAGTCATCACACTCTATCCAGACAAATAAGGTTGGAGCAATCACAACTGTAAATTAAGAAGGTAATTAAATAATTCTGTCATCGAGTCATAACCCAAAACTACATGAATATCAGGATGTTTTTTTGATCCTACACATGAAAATGAGGTAAAAATGAATAGAATCTGTTTTCACATGAACAACTCATCAGCACTCCTGCTGAAATCCATACAAATTTAATGCAAGTGGCTATTACCTCACTGTACAGTGGGTGATAGCTCTAGACTGCAAGTCAAGCCTGTAATTTATACAAGATCATAAGCAACACACACTCACAGATATCTCACCTGCTCCATCCATCTCATCAACCTGCATGACCTCACTTTTTCCTCCAATCCCGCCTGTATTATTTAACACTCATTAAAGAGCAGTCTCTTCTCCTTCCTTTTTTAAATAAACAAAACAATGACTTTAGTATTTAGCTGTGAACGAATTGATTCGGTAGAAGAAAAACAACAACAACAACAAGAAAATACATGTGCGACACATCTTAAAACCGCAACTGGCCTCTGCAAAAAAAAAAAAAAAAACATGCTTCGGATGTTTTCAGTATCGCCACTTACTTGCAAGGTTTTCTGGTGCTGATTCACGGAGGAGGTTGGCGGAAAACACAGCAGCTGCTTTTGGAAACAAAGCCGCGTGGCTCTGCTGCTTCCTCTGCTCTCGCTCAGGTTTAGGATGACATTTACGGTGCCGGAGGAGAGAGGTATGCTGCAGACAGGAGGAAAAGAAGGAGGCGAAGGAGGGAGGGATCTGGTGGAGGAGTGGTGCTGATGCTGCAGCCCACAGCAGGTACGTTTATACGCACATGCTCTCGTTTCATTTTCTTTATTCACTTCCGCCCTCTGCTGGTTCTTTACTGAAATATCCCTCGGTGCTCTGAATGAGATGAAATACTGTGCCTTACAATGCATACAAACCCATTTATATTCATATATTTATATGTATTGCAAATTTAAATTGTATTAAAAATTTTATATTTGCATTTTTGCTGTGACACAAATTCTAAATTCAGCAGATATTAAATTCATAGCTCAGGTGGGAGAATCTGTCTTAAGATCAGCTATTTGTCCTGCACTGAACAAATCTGGTTTTATATTAAAAAGAAGGTAAAAAATAATTTTAAAAAAGTCAATGTAGTCAATGTAGTTCTTAGATCTACTAAATGTAAGAAATTTAGTAGATGTCCAAATCAAAGTTTCCCACAAGTGATGTCGAGGAATCAGTGAACACAAAGAACCAGGTGAACTAGTCAGGAAGACCAAAATTGAATGTTCTGACCTACATGTCAATTATGCACAAAATATACTAATATTTGACAAAAAATATATAAATGAAAAATCAAGTGAGAAAGTGAACCATGCACAAGATTCCTTCATTGATAGTTGGAGCTGTAGAAATATGATATTTGAAGCTGGAAAGTGTCCATGTATGTGTGAGCCATGAATTAGCCTGCTTTTCCCATCTTTACAGAAAACTGTTTTAAAATGACAGTAAGATGAAATAATAAGAAAGCTGCAATTTTGTGCATCAGTGCAGTAAACTGAACTACTGCCACACTGAAAAAAAAACAGTAAAGAAACAACCCTTCTGTAAAATAAGAAGGAAATAAGCAATAACTGCTCACTGTCACTTCACATACTCCCTTTCTTGCATGGATAATACATTTTGAAATGTTGCTGTGTTCAAATGACCTTTGAAGCAACAATTAGGTGTATCATTCCCAGTGAAAGGTTGTGCCTCCCAAGAGTAGCTGTAGTGTGGAGCATTTGTAACTGAGTAATTATGCTTATGAAAGAAAAAGGACAAATGGCAGCAACCTTTTTTATTTATATCAAGGATACAAGGTTTTATTTGCAGAGCTCTGCTTATTAGAGGAATAAAATCAGTTTAAGACAACATAGAAGCTATAGAATCCACATGTTATGCAACTGCTCTTTTTCTTAAAAAAAGAATGTTTTTATCAATAAATAACTTAATACTAGAAATATACACACCTTATGTACACAGTTTTGATTATACACATCTAATTATTGACTGCCATCTTGTTTTCAAGAAGCAGTGTCAAAAGTCTGTATTCAAGGACTGGTATCCTTCATGTTTTAGTGGGGTTTTTTTTCACTGATTCTTCACTCCTGAACCGGTTTATTAGGTCTCTGCAGAAGTTTGACATGTTGCGAAGGTAGTTTGAATCAGTTGTATTGGAGGAAAAACTCCTGTAAAACTGGACGGGCACCAGCCCTTGACGACTGAAGCTGCAAGTGGAGGGAAGGATAGTGAGTATTTTTGAATGACTGGATTTTCTCAGCTTTTTTGTGATAGTCATTGCTGTTTCATTTAATATTTTTTGTATAGTGTACTCCCGACCCCGTTAGGGAGAAGAGTGCTCAGAAAATGGATGGATGGATGTATAGTGTACTTATAAATACATTTTGAATAAGATGCACAGAAGAGACAACTCAAACAAAACATAGAAATATTTTATAGTCTTAAATCCAATTCTATAACATTGTGTGATCCAATGCATAAATTAAAACCATAACATGACCCATGCAAAGTGTATTTTTTATCTTATAAACAATAGACATGCTGCTGCTACATTGTTTTGGAATATTTTGCACCAGTTTAAATTGTTGCACTTCAATTGATTTAGCAATTGTTTCCAGTGTGAAGTAAATGCAATTTTGTTTCAGAGTTTATTTGTAACTGAATTGGCCACACTGGCAGGGAATGTGGAAGTTTATGAAGTTAATCTAAAATCTGTAATAACTGTACCTTTGCTCAGAGTTTGGTGAAACTTAAGAAAAGGTATAGAGCGAAGACTGAAATTATGTTCAAGAAATATTTATTGCAAAAAATATGTCTATACTTGAAAGGGAGTTTTTTACCCTTTCTCCCAAACACATTCAGTGACATTCAACAAGCAGTGCGATGAGAAGAAATCAGAGGACCCGTCCCTTAATATAATTAATATGAATAGGACAAAATTCAAAATGGACACTACTAACAGACTGAAGGATCAGTATTTCAAAATTAAACATTTTAAAGGTTTGGGGTAATATAATGGAAGCATGTTAAGAAATATGCTTACTCTTTTACCAAGATACAAGATCGTAGAGACTGAGGGTGTCAATTTGTGGTTAGTATAGTTTTCACATTAAAACTAGTTTTGTAAGTTATGTACATAAACAATCTTATAGAAAATGACTGACCCATCTCCTAAGCAAATTTTAGTGAAAAATTCAAATACATAATCAAAGACAATGGCTGGTCAGCTTAAAATTTATAAAAAATGCCCTTTCTACTGAAATAACATCTCAAAATATTTTTTTTTACTATGTTCCTATGAACATTTTTTAGGTAAGTAAATGATGCTGCTGACTACTTTAAATCATTGTTTTCCCCAAAGGTTACATAGCTAAAGATCCACTGACCAGTTTCAAACAAAGCACACTGTGGTAACACATTTTATAAAGTACTGAGATGGTTGTCTGTTCTTCAGATTTATGTAGACATTATGTTTTAATATATATAAAAAATCAATCTATGTTTAGAAAATATTCTGGCAGCACAACATTAACCACTCCACAATCTTACTGCTAGTAATTTAACCTACAAACACTCCAACTCAACATGTAGAGGAACTTAACATGGCTGTACCTTACCTCTCAACTTCCATTAAACATTAATGTCTCTAATGAAAGCCCTTCTTCCACAAACAGTCAGGCAGTAATGAATAGCTGAATCATGAGACCACGCAAAATACTGACTCCACTGAGTGTTTCAGTTTGATTTTCTGCAAGGCATTCATCACCACTTGACTGTAATGTGAACAGGACCTACCTGGGAGTGTGACAGTTTACATTTTTGTAGCATAGCTTTCCCCCAAAAGGAGAGATGAAGAAGTGGACTGTCAAAAACCCTTCTACAATGACAGCCTGGTGTCGGGGCAGGTGAACGTGGAGTGGTGTATTATAGTCCCTTCTAAAACCCCCTGTCGTTTTCTTCCCTGACATCCAGGCCATTATTGAGAAAAGCTTCTTTCTCTATTGACATGGCTTCCAATTCATGATCAAGATTAAAACCATTCATCTCTGTTACAAGAGATATGCGAGCGGAGGTCGCCTCAGAGCTGTGATGAATGCCATAACCGAAGTAGATGACTAAACCTGCAAAAAAGGAAAAAGACAAAATTTTGCTTGTATTATACACACTCATGATGAAAAATCTGGAAAAAGTTTAACTGGGCTGTAGATAAAGTATGTTTTGATGTAAATGACATGTGATCAAGTCTTCATAGTTTGAGTTTTGCAATCCCTCTTAGTAGATATTTTTATGAAGACAATGCTAAAGAAATGACTTTTAACAGTACCTACCTGCAATTGTGATATCACATTACATTGTGCACAGTTCCAATCAGCTTTGCAAAGAAAATAATTTTTTAATGTTCAACATAAAAATAATGTATAATAACAAAAGATGTATAAGTACCTATAGCCATCCAGATGGAAAATCTGACCCATGTTCCTCTGTCCAGTTGCATCATAAGGTAGACATTGACAAACATGCTTATGACTGGAATGAAAGGCACCAGGGGAACCTGGGAAACAGGACTGTATTAGCACACACGAACAACCTGGAAAATGTGTGCATTTATTTGAAAAAGTTAAAAACAAATACATTCCAAGAAAAATAATGTTTTGGAAATATTTTAAAATACTTATGTAACCACCCTCCCAAGGACAGCATAATATATAAAAATATATTGTCACTGCAATATCATTTTAATCAGTGTTATTATTGCCTGTTAGGATATTTTAAGTATTGCTCTGAAAGTAGTTATGAGGATGTTTAGAAGACCATGTATTTGCAAACATTTTTTGACTTACAGACATGCATGCATGAGAGGCAAGTTTTTGTGTTTTTTGAAAAGTGGCTATGGAAACAAGATCTCTACATGATGTCATTTGTTTTCCTGTTTTACCTATTTTTAATTGTATTTATAAAAAATTGACCCTTGATGAAATGAAAAAAAGATATGACATTTTACAGAAATTTCTAAGGTTGATTACAAATGCAGTATATCTCTTTAGTATAAAACTATTTCAGAAGTAAGGATTAGGCTTTAGGCCACTGAATAAATTTACTCAAATTAAATACAAGATTTTTTCACTATGTTATTTGAAACTAAAATAAACAAGGAATTTATCGTAAGCTTTTGCACATTTTTCGTCCATCATAGCCAAAAATGAGCAAGATGGAGATGAATGTTGAATTGAATTAGCATGCCATAACACTGAAAAGGTCTTCAAGCCTAACCTTGAAGGAGAGTATTGTTTTACTCTCAGGCTGCCTCCAGATTATGAAAACCACAACAAGACACACCATGAAGATCACACTCAAGGCTACCATGTTCCATGAGGCGAAGCCTCCCTGCACGGCCAATATACTGAAGGCCAGGATCAACATTCCTGCAGAAGGACGTATGAGAGAGTTTGTAAATTCAGATAGACATTATTTAATTTTAGACTTAGTAGATCTATTTAATGTACGCAAAACCAGCTGATTTTATGTCATGTTAAGACTTCTCATAAAAAGACAAACAGGCTCTTAAGACTAATTATTTTTCTGCTTTATCTTGCATGAAAACATACCTATGACAGAGGTACAAATGTTAACAGTGAAGCCTGACATTGCGGACGGCTCGGGGTTGTTTGGAAACAGAAGAGTCTGGAAACTGAATCTCTCTTCCACATCATGAAGAATACCCATACTGGGCACACTGATCCCATCACTGGAGTCTGCCTCATCATGGGTATTGGCTATCTGGTACACTGGGCTGTGGATTTCTGGCTGGTATCTGGAAAAAAAGACCTACACATTAGGACATTTCTCAATTAGTGCTTTAAATATAAACACTACATATTCACTGCTGCTGTTCCAATCATGACAATTTAAACCAAATGTAAGCAAATGTAAAGCAGCAGTGACCCTTTGTAGAAGCAATGTCAATTAAAATGGGAGCAGTAGCCAAGTTGCTTCAGTTTGTGACAGCTCAACCACAGCTGATCTGTCACAAACTGCTCAGCAAACTGCTCATGAAAAACATTTTTATCATATGTTTTTCATATGAAACATATGAAAAGTGAGTCAAATGTTCAGCGTTATAACATATTCACAGAGAACACAACACTTTAGTTAAAAATCCAATCAAAATTGAAAAAAATTAGACTGCATATTTGGATAAAACATTTCTTTTCTGAAAGTTACAAAAATAAAAGGCAGGAAATTTAAATTTAGAATTTAAAAAATAGAGTACACAGATTCGGTTCTATAATATGCAAATATTAATTAAGTAAATGTTGAAACATATTTACTCCAAATCCCACTAAGCTGGTTACTAATGTCATAAAATACCCCCAGTTTATGTGTTTTTTAATATTTAGAATAAACAATTTTGCAACTCAATCAGTATTTTTTTTTCTTGTAACACAAAGTAAAAGAATAAAAAGAGTCATGTGAAATCAAAACTCCAATTTTACATGTGTTCTGTTTTGTTCCAGTGAGACTTTTATAATCCATGAAGAGTCAACTAAGTAAATTTTTCTTTGGTTTCCACCTAGAATTTTTGAATAAAACAGTCCAAACTGACCTTAGCACCAGCACACAGGCGGCCACTAACGTATAGGCCAACAGCGTTCCTATTGACATGAGGTCCACCAGGTCCTTCAGGTCAAACAGAAACGCCATGATCGCTAAAAATGATTAAAAAAAAAAAAAAGCAACAAAGGGCTCCTGTAAGAATGGTGCAAGCTTGAAGATATATAGTTTTTAACGAGCAAAATTTAAAAAGTACTCAAATATTTTAACATTGATGGAGATCAAATTTAATAAACATTCATTATGGTATTTCTTTCATAATCTAATTCTGACTGAATAATTTCTGTGAATACATGTCTCAGAAATTATTGATATACGATCTATTATGGAAGTGTTTCAACATAATGCACAGGATAATGAGTACCGGTAAATGAACTTTTATGATCATGTTAAGATCTATTATGTTGAAGCCTTTGGTTCCATTTATTTCCAAAGAAATTTAAACCAAACAAATCTGTTTCTGCCCTGACAAAGTTGATGACGGTCATGTTAATTTAAAAAAATTATTTAGTTGATGACACCGTCATCAACATGCCATAACACCTGCCATGTCATGTTAATGACAGTGTCGTGACAGTCTTATTCACAACTTGTCAAATAAAGTGTTGCCTTTATTTGACAAGTTTTAGCCATATTTTGACAATATGGCTAAAAAATTGTTATAACTTTAGAAGAAGAGCATCATGGTGGTAATGTACTGAAATGTTGCACATTTTTTAAACTTTTAAATTCTTCCTTATTTTATTTTTTGAATTATATTTAATCCATAGATGCTATTGCCAACTGCTCTCAATAAACTTAATTATCTAAATTTGCTCTCTTTTAGATCTTTTGTTCATATTTCCCCTATAGTTCTGTTGCCGTTTTCATAACTCTGACTCTTCCTGGTTTGCATTTCCTACTCCTCTTACCAGACAAGACCCCAGCTGCAACGGTGGAGTTTATGGGGGCCTTCCTTTCGCTGACATGGGCCAAAAAGGAGAAGAGAAGGCCATCTCGTGCCATGGCAAAGATGATACGGGGTAGAGGGAACATGGAACCCAAAAGACTGGGGTAGAGTGAGGAGGAAAACATTTGATTTGGGAGATAGTTGTGGGTAGGTAGAGGGAAATATAGGGAAATAAAAAAAAAAAAATGCCAGCTTGAAAGAAAAATGCCAGGCATGTATGGATTGGAAATGTGAGGCAGAAAATGCGCAACATGGAAGCAGGGTGGAGTCAGTATTATGCAAGGGGACATGATGCTGTTTGTCCAAAGTTTTTTGGACGATGCCATGGAATCATGCAAGGCTCCACATGCTATTATTCTACATTGCAAATTGTGTTTATGTATTGAGACATGCAGCTTTGCTTAGTGGATTTGTTATTACAAGATGCAGGTTCAAAATATTACAGACAGTATGAGCTGTGATAGACTGATATTAGGACTGATAGGAGGAATAACACAGTTAGACTATAATAAGTTACACCAGTGGAAGTTATTGCTTGAAGAGCACCCAAGGCAAGCAATGCTTGCCCATAAGAAAGCCATACTTTTTAAACAAAGCTCCACAGATTGCAAAAACACGATTTTTTAAATTTCAAGGGTTGTGTATCTCAGTGTAGCATCAAGGGTCTGCAGGGGCTTATCTACCTACAAACCCACCTCCCTCCCCTCAGTCCATCTTCCACTGTCTCCATATGCATTTGTCAATTTTTTTCTATCAAGCTCCACCACTGAGCAAGCCCTTTCAAGAGAAGGAAACAGAACCCTGGCTATAAAACAGTTAACAAGACCCTTCAATGATCAGGGAGCTGATTTCTGCCAGGTGTTAACATCTCCAGATGACCATCAGGAACATTAAACCCAGCACAACTCAGTCCTTAAGCATGGAAGGAGGCTACAGGATGCAAAATTAAATACATGCATGTTAGTATCTCACCTGCCCCTGTGCCTGAGGCAAAGGTTGCAGTTAGTGGGGTTTTGGTGCGAGGGCTGATCTCAGCCATGAACTTGAAAAGCAGCCCATCATCAGCCATCGACCACAAAACACGAGGCATAGGAAACATTGCACCCAGCAGGCTGCCATGGGGGGGAGACCAGGATATATAGTATCCACACTTCACTTACATCCAAGAGAATGATATAAGACATACATGAACAGAGACAACAACTCAAACATTGAAGAAACATAGAACAGTGTAAATGTAGCAGAATAAGAAACAACGTACATACAGTACTGTCAAAAAGTTCTGAGACCTCTTAGCTTTTAATGTTGTGCTTCCAAAGTGCCAGACTGTCGTGTTATTTACCTTTGATGCCCAATATATTTGATATTTATAGATTCTGCGGTAACTGAGCATGGTACAAAAAGAAAGTTATCTTTTCTAAGAAATCAGCTATTGCTACTTTAGTCAGTCTTACAATTTGTTTTATGTGTTAGTTACATTGTTTATAGATCAGAGTTGCAAGCAATAGACAAAAAGGTGAAATAAAACAGATTTTTATCAATAAAATTATTTATTTATGAATAAAAAATAATAATAAAATAAAATTATTTACAGCAACTTCCTTGACACCACTCTAAATTATTACAAAATTGACTTACTCTTCAAAAGAGGGAGAAAAAAACTGAGGTTGCTCAAAATTTTTAACAGCACTGTAATATCTTGTGTTCTGAGTATCAATGCAGACACATGCAAGAAAATGTTAAATACACAGTCATTTAAAAAAATACCTCAAGTGAAATTATGCAACACACTTCATGGTAAGAATATAAATGATATATATAATTAACAATTGAAACTTAGCATAAGAAAAAGTGCTATTTAATAAGTCATTGTTACATAATCAGACGCTTATACAAATTATTGGTCAGTGGAGCTTTTATTTTTAGATAAGGAATCAAATTCCGTTTAAAGCTAAATATACGAACAGCACCCATATAAACACACACAAGCGTGTCTATATATGCCTGCAAATGCACGTCTGCATGTTTCTCTGTAGCCTTTATCACACGTGAGCATGAGCGTTCAAAAGACTGTATTCTTTATACAACGGCTTATCAGCACTTTTATTCTGACATGACTGGGTCTAGAAATATTTACAAGATCTGCTTTAGAGAAATTCAAGATGAGGCATCCAATAATCCAGTGAAAATTATGTTTTTTATAACAAATTGAAAATAGCAGTTGAAGGAGTTGTTTTCATATTAATGATACATTGAAAGATCCAACCTTATATTGACATGTTAATTCTCCAGCTTAGATTGTAGATATTTACTTTATGACATATCTGGAGAAAATGATCTGAAGTGCATATTTGAAAAAGACTGAAGTAAAAACATGGCACAGACATATGGAAAAGTTTATCAGGTGTGAAGTTCTTACCTGGTGGACAGAGCACAAAGAGAGCCTACAGCTACAGCATATTTGGCTCCTCCCCAACCTACATATTTAAAAGCTACAGGCAGAGGGCTGTTGCTGTCCAGAAGATAGTATGGCATCATGAGGGTGAGGGCAGCAGAAACACCAAAGTAAGCAACGAAACAAATCAGCAGCGAGGACACAATCCCAATAGGAATGGCTCTTTGGGGGTTCTTCACCTCCTCGCCTGAAGTTTGCAAAAATAATAAACACAGTTCAGTTTATCTCCAAACTCTGTGTTGGCCACTATTACTGGAAAGAAAAAAAAGCAAACAAACAAACCCAAAAATTTATATTTTGTAAAATGATACATTTATGTCACCTTCAAACATTCTGTATGCAATAAAACAGTATGTTTAGCAATAAATGACAAAATTCTCAAATTTGCAACTCAGAGTAGTTGAGCCTGAAACCCCTCCAACAGCTGTTGCGCCACTGTTGGCAAGATATTTTTGTGTTGGCAGGAGTCCAGTGCATGTGGAAAACTGTAAAACAGATGTATTTCAGACATACTGAAAGCATGTGTTTGTAAAAAATGAACAAGCAGGTTATATTCACTAAGGGATAATCATATTAAAACCTCAGTTAAAGGAAATTGGGTAAACATTTGCACAAAGACTTAGTTTAATGTTCTGGAGTGAGTCTGGATGACAAATGAGAGACTCAGAGACTGAGATATAAAGTATGTATCACTTCTGATGCATTTTGTACATCATAATGCATTTATGACACTACAAAACAACAAGCTTTCTTGGAATATGTGCAATAGACATGCTTCTAAACTTCAGCAATAATTTAGGGGTTTTCTCCATATTAGCCAAAAAACTTTGGGGAAAAAAAAGAACAAATATGTCAGAGAGCATGTAAGCTTCTATGTTCACCCCAACATAGAAGCCTTGGATCCATTACAGCAATCCACAAACATAATGCAGAAACACAAAGACCTATTCACATATGTACATTTGAGGCATTTAGAAAAAGTCTGGACAACATCTTCCTAAGCTGAATCTCTCCTTTTTGCGTCACAGCCTTTGGCATCATGCCATGTGCAAGAAGTGGACCAAATGCATTAAAAGTGCAGCTTCTCTCTCCCTGATTACTCTTATGTAATGCTAGAAACTAAAACTGTTCCAACTGCAGATTCTGTTTCATGCTCTATACCCCAACTCCAACCTATAAATGAAACCCTGTTAGAAAGTGAAATGGAAATAAGAGAAATGCTTAGATGGAAGTAGATCTATTTCAGACAATTAATTGAGAGCAAAGATATTCTGATTGGAAAGAAAGTTCTCACCAACATGTCAAAGTAGACTTTAAGGATAATATGCAAAGACTTTGATGTTATGAGTTGAAGGAAAGACTTTGTTGGGTGGCATAAAGGTATTTCTTACGTATCATTTCTCCAAGAAACACTATTTTAATTTCTCTACTTAAATCACAATCTCTAAAAGGATAATATAGCATAATGTAAACAATTTTTATGTTGGTTATGTTAGTGAAACAATGATATGGCATAACATGACCACTGACAGGTGATGTAAATGTCACTGATTTTCTGCTGCCAACATCTTGGTGCCAGATCCCATTGCACTGCTTGAGGTACAGTATCTCCTGGGCTCCAAATCTATAGGCAAGGGATCTTTTGGCAGCAAATGTGGGATTAACTCACAATTACACAGGTGAGCATATGGATAATTTGTTGATAAAATATTTACAGTACAACACTTTAAGACACATTTTAAAAAGAAAAAAATCACAAAAAGCAGAGAAAGTACTTTCAAAGTTTTCCATCTATCACTGACCTGTGGTGGCGATGCAATCAAAGCCTACAAAAGCATAGAAACATGTAGCAGCTCCTGAAAGTACTCCTGTGAAGCCAAATGGCATAAAGCCACCCTGTCCTATTCTCTCCTTGGATGGCAGGATGGCAGTCAAACTGCACAGAAAAAGCACAAAAATATACATATTTTAAAAGCTAAGATCTCTAAATCAAATCAAATCAAATCAAATTTTATTTGTACAGCACATTTCAGCACCAAGGCATTTCAAAGTGCTTTACATCATAAGCACAAAAACACAAAGTCATGCAACATAGAATAAACAATACATTGTTACTAAACAATGTTGGACACATAAAGGTAGTTTGCAGTGATATTCTTACTTTAGGCTTGAGCTATTCGTATGATTGACATGTAGGACCTCCTCTGGAACAATCTGCCAGTTCTTTAAAGTGCCTTTGACCAGCCCAGAGATCACCATGAATAATAAGACTAAAACATTGACACAGGTGAACACCTTATTCACCATCGCTGACTCCTTCACTCCAAATGCCAAAAGACCTTACAAATGAAAACAAAAAGAAAATTAAACAGAGAAACAAATTTCGAATGTGTATTATATGTATAAGCTTCAATATAAACTTAAATTTATTTAGAAATTTGTCAACCAAACAAATGACAAAAACTCAATACATGTAGCAAACTAGAAGTAGCTAAAGTCAACTTTAGCAAGTCAACTTTAGCAAGATTATTTGCTAAAATTTAATCTGAACATCTGAAACGGAAAGAAAAGGGATTAAAGTTGCTTTGAAAGTGGCATGAATATTGTTATCAAAAGGAGCTGAGCATTTTAAGAACAACTAATTTAGTGGAAGGTTTACACAAAATAATCTAGACATAATTCAGAGCATGCAGTTGTGTGGAATAAAGAGTGTGGAGGGCAGATATAATAGGAAGACTGTTAAGAGATAAAAGATAGCTCACAGTTGCTTTAATAAGCACTTGTTACAACTAAAGAATGCTGGATATCATCACTGAATGCACAACACAGCTAATCTTTAAACGAGTAGTATATAGCAGCGGAAATCCTAATCAGTGGCCACTCCCGTCAGTGAAAACAGGAAGCTGAGATACACAGGCTCCCCATAATTGGACTGATTGAAAAACATTATCTGGTTTGGTAAATCTCAAAATGATCTCAAATCTCACATCACCTCAAACTGGTTTCTGAACAAATTCAATGAGTACACTGGACTCCACGGGTGAAGGATTTGCATCTTAGATGAACAGCTGAGAAATCTTCAGCAGCAGTGTGATGTTATGTTATTATGAAACCAAAATGTCCATGTTAATCCAATGAAAATATTATGCAGCAACGTGGTTGTCCAGCCTCACACAATCAAGATCTACTTAATAACGTAGTCAGTAAGTGGTGAGACAAAAGAAGACACAGACAGAGAGATGTTCCTACCTGTAAGAGTAAATATGATGAGAACTGCAAACATGTCAGGGTATTCTGCCAGCACACCTGGTGCATTCATGGACATGTGTTCTCTGCAGAACTCCTCAATGCGTTTCCCTACCAACTCGTCAAAGGTGGCGCTCCATGCACGGGCAACACTCGAGGTACCTGGAGCACAAAATAATAATAATCAAGTAAAACCTAAACGATTCCCTGCTCCCATTTCCTTTACCAATACTCTGAACTACACCTAGTAAAAACCCATAAAGCTCACAATAATAGTAACTGGGTTGAAAGCTTTATTTCAGTTTAAACAATTGCCTGTTTAACCCCAAATTTATTCCTGCAAAATAAGTGCATGCATTTCAATCCTTGGACCTCCCTGACACATGATATTTATGAATTATTACATTTTATGTTGGTTCTGTTAGTGAAAATGTAGGTTTTATACTTGGCAACAATTGTTGCTGGGGGGAAACTGCATAGTATAAATTTCACAAATGTGGCCTGTTTGTAAGAAAATAAGAAAAATCATGACATGCATAACCTATTATAGCAAAGAATGGTTACAAGAGTGTTCAGAAATACTTTAGATGCATAAAGATTCAATGTCACTTTCTGCAGATGTCATAGTGTCAATGTTCTGAGTGACCTTTGACCTCATTTAGTCATTTATCCAAAGTCAGGTGAAAATGTTAGTGTAAACAAATTTGTATCAGGGAGAAATTCTCCTTGTTCTACCAGAGCAAGAACTACACCTTGGCTCTGTTCTAAACTAGTTTCAGGTGTGGCGTCATCTTGTAGTTTTCATTGAGTGCATAAGCCACATTTTGTGGAAAGGATCACGTTCTGAGGCGGTGAAATGGGGTAGGGTTTCAACTATGGGATGTAGAAGTCGTCGTTTTGAGGTTCTTTCAGGTCTAGAAGATTTTAAATATCTGATAGTCTTAAACTGTGTGGGAACAGCAAGGCATATAGAATAAACAGCAAAGCTATAAACAGAAAAGCTGTCTATATATTATCCTAGCGGCAATAACTGTTGTCATGCTTACGTTCGCATTATTACATTATATAAATATATAAAACAATAGAAGACACTTGGAAAAACATGTGTTCAAAATATTTTATTTATATTTATTTATTTCAATATTTTACTGACTTCCTCTTGTACAGGTTTGTAAAGAGGTCTGGTAATGTGACCTTTCACACTAGATGCATGAAATTTACATTGCATAGAGTAGATACTCTATTATTTTATTTTAAAACTTCAAGTAGCTGCCAAAAGTCAAAACAATTGTTCTAGAGCTTCCAGAAGTTAGAAAAAATGTGTAGCAACAATTGTTGCCAGTGGGATTTAATAAAATGACCTAAAATATTTTGTGACCTAACCCTAAAAAGACACTCATTGTAGAAATTATACTGATTTACCAATGATGTAAGAGAGAATGAGGTTCCATCCAGTAATGAAAGCCCAGAGTTCTCCGACTGTCACATATGAGTAAAGATAAGCAGAGCCTGTCTTCGGGACCCTTGCTCCAAACTCAGCATAGCAAAGACCTGCCAACACTGAGGCTGAGGCAGCTATCAAGAAAGACAGGACGATAGCGGGACCTAGAAAGATATGATACAATCAAAGATCTGTTCTCCAAAAGCTAAAACTTTTACATCAACAAGGCTGATTAAGTTACCTGAATTGTCTCGTGCAACAGCACCAGCAAGCACGTAAACACCAGCACCCAATGTGCTTCCCACACCCAGGGCTACCAGGTCGAAGGTGTTGAGACATCGAGACAGACGGGAGTCCTCAGAATTTGAGTTCACCACTTTCACCCTTAGCAACTGTTTTCCAAAACGCATAAGTTTCTCCAGCACCATGGTTTGCAGACTAGCCCCAGGAGGGGAGAGTACTTGAGAGGTCACAGGGGGAAAAAGTGGAGGCTGCACACACCCTAAGGGGGAAAAGAGGATAAAAGATTATGTGGAGTATATCTGAATGAATATGTGGGAAGTGTACTCTAAATCTTGCTAGTAAATGTACACTGAAGTTGTTGAAGTATTACAGATTTGACAAAAAAGTCTACAAAACTCTGTTGGAAGGACAATGTGGTTTCGTGGGAGGTTACGTAATGTAAATCCACTACGTATGGCTGTAAAGCAAAGAAATAGTAGAACAGAGGGAGGTCTTTTGGAAAATCTTGCTATTGGTTATATGTTATGTAAACACAACTCACAAAGGACATGTGAATGCTCCTTAGCATAGTGTTCAACAGACAAACCTCTGCAATACATGACCAAGTGTCACTCCTCTACATTCATAAAAGTTACCTATTAACCAAAGATTCTATTAATAATAAGATTCTATACTTGTTTTTATTAAATGGGGGAAACTTAAAAAAATAAAAATAAAAAAAATAAAAGAATGGAACACATTGTTCAATGAGAACAATCTGTCCACTTTGAACACATTGTTCAATGTGGACAATGTGAAGCAATGCAGGTTACGGTCCAACAGTCTGGTGAAATGACTGGTACGTCTCACAGTGAAAATGGAGTAGAGTGAATGACGTGCAGTGACACTGTGACACTGTGACTCATGTCAACATAATGGCACCTTGTCAGGACACTCTGACATGTTGACATAAATCCAGAAAGGTTACCGTGTTCACAATGTACCCATTCCTTATTCCTTCCTGGAAACATTCAAGCTCAATAGTTCCAAATGCTAATTTTTATCAAACTGTCATTGCCCCCCTCAGGCTGTGCTTACCCGTAACCATATTGCCCATATCAGACCCAACCAATGATTATAAAGCCATTTTAAAGGTCATTAACATTAGCACTTTCAGATGTAGATGTGTTTTGCAGATCATTGATGCTCACATGGTGTTACAGTTAATAAACTGTGCTTAAACCAGCAGGGAAACAGGCTGGATGCTCATGAGAAATGTTAGTAATTTAAAGAGAATGCAGATTCTCTACCATTAGGCAAACAAATCCCTACACAGTCTCAAAATAAGCAACAGTTGACTGGTTGATTTGGAAAAGAAACTTTTTCAGCATTGTGTAGTGTAGAAACTCTAACCCAGCAAGTTAAACTGCATAATCGAATCTTAAATGTTTACTAAATACAGCTGGTATTTAAATGTTTCTGCGGAAAGCAAAGAAAATTAAAGCATGTACTGAGACAATGTACATAGCCACATGCACAAACATAGCTACGTCAAAGTAACTTATATAAACAAAGTGACCCCATACGGACTTGAGTACACAAGTTACTCAATTGCTTAAGTTTTTGTCAATGCAAATGACAAGGCAAAAATATGATGTATTAGACAAATAATCATAACCCTTCAAAGCAATCTTTAGTGTGTGGGGCAAATAAAAATGGTGAAAGATAATCATGTAGTACAGATTATGGTAAAAATCGAAAGGAAATATTTGAACTTACCGGAAAGCAGTAACGCTTCCTTTTAAATGGAAGCTGTTAAAATGCTTCCATTTAATCTATGTGGTAGATTTTAAATTAATGGTGACAGGTGTGGAACTTGAAAGAATATTTGCTAACTTTTCTTTCAACTGCTGTCAGAAGCACAAGCTGTCAGATGGGTAGGATTCTAAAATAGAATATGGAAGAATCACATGGCTTGGTTATTCCAAGCTGCCTGAAGTTGAGCACGAGCATGCACGATCAAAAAGTTGCAGTCACACTATCAACTTTTCTACATTTGTCAGAAAAGTGTTGCAATACTTAACTCTTACACACAAACTCAAATTCCATGCCCACACACTGAACAATAAAGGGCTTACGTTTGCGGAGAACGCTCATAAATGTCACAATTTCCAAGAGCAGGAATTACTGTGACAACTACAATCTTGCTTTGTAAAGCATGGTCTCTTGTCCTACAGCATGCACACAGATGCATTCACGAAACCTACTATATGTATCAACAACTTCTTTGACAACTATAACTCAGATATCAGAAAAGTGGAAGCAATGCCCATCAGGGGGAGGGAGTAGTTGATCAGAAGAAGGGGTGTGATGCGTAGGAACCAATTAAAATTCACCCTGTATTTAGCACAGTTCCACATTGCAAAATGCTATGTCATGGCTAAAGTCATGTCCAATGCTACTTAGAAAGAGCTGCTCTGAGAGATGGAAATCCAATTAAAAAATGATTAAGGGTCTATATTTTTATGTCATTTATAAAACTGGAATCATTTTGGTAATCATAACTGGTCTAAAACAATAATTTAATATCAGTAATTAAAAAAACATCTTTATTTTACACTATGTAAATATCTGGTTTACAACTCTGGGTGCTGCTCTAGTGTTACATTTAAAGGTCAAGTCTTTCAGTCTTGCTCAAGAGATAAAATAACTGACCTAAAATGAAGGTGGCTAGGTGTGTTTTTTATTTCCCTTTCAGTTTGCCATGTTTGTGTATTCAACAATGCATGTCAGCCATTCATGCCAGAAAGACTGGGAGGACAGACACTGTCATTAGTTGCACCACCTCCATTGATAAAATCTATGAGCAAAGCAGGACCAATGACTCTCAACAAGAGTATCCTCAATGATGGGGTTTTGCCTCAGCAGTACCCATACAGTATATTCTTGAAATATCTTTGTTAAAAACATATCAGACCAGACAGCCAAGTTTTAAACATACAGAATGCTTTATAGTCAGAAGAAAAAAGAACAGACACGATTCCTTTGTCTGGATACATTAAAAACCACATTTTTGAGAAATAATCATATGTTTTTGAGAAACAAAAGCTTAACTTTTACCACTATTCACTTCACCAACAGATATAGCAGAAACAGACAGAATGGTACTGCATTCAACAAAAGGCAGTATCCACTCAGGAGACAGCGTCATGAATGTTGTGAGTTGGCATATTTTGAGATTGTATATGTACAACACAGACAAAGACGGCAGAGGACGTCTTGGTTCACTGAAAGTAAAGTTCTTCCTTTCTACCTGTTTACATTGCAGCGACTCAACAGAACAAATGCACAACATACGTCAGTGACACAGCATCCAGTTTACGCTGGTATTAACAAGCTCACACTGGACCAATGCAGCAGAGATGACATATGAAGCTCTGAGTTTCACTGAACCTGGAAAGCTTCTGCAGACTCACACTGGAGCTCCCTGCAGAAATGTGGTCTGCAACTTTGCCCACTACTGACCTACTTTGGGACCTGCTAAAGTTAGACCGAGTGAAGCTGATCTTAACTGTTGCTTTTGGTATTTGAAAGGTCAGAACTCATCCAACCATTCTGTAAAAGGATACACTTTTCTCAAATACACTATGTGGTCAATTTCTCCTGTATTCCATCAGAAAATAGCCATACAACAGTCCATTGCTGCTATCTGAGACATATACAGAGCACCAGTTTCTAGAATAAAACCAATTTATATCTGATGACTTAGACTTTATGTAAAATATCTAAGTAATTTGAGATGACAGAATACTTCTATTCCACATTGTTTATTTACATAGGACAATATAATGTTTATAGATATAGCTAGTATAAACTTATTTAGTCAGGGAGGTGAATTTTAAAGATTTGTGGAAGTTTGTGGTAGCCTAACCTGATTAAATTGAGACAAAATAAAAAATAATTGGGTCAATTTAAGTTTGTTTGTAAGTTTGGCTTATAAGCTAAACAAACGTGTGTTTCTTTATGCATTTAATCGATTGTGACAGACCAAATCCTGCTTTGCAGTGCCTACTCAAACAGACCACATGTTGCTCTCACTCTGCAGACCGCATTCAGAGCCCACCCCGTTCAGATCATCTGGGTTCAGACCTCTCCCCACACCAGCACGGATCAGTTTTAAGAAATCCAACACAGTATGAGCTCTATTTAAATCTCATAGTTCCTATAATGTAAACTCCACCGCGCCTCTACTGTACTTCCCTGTAGTCTCCAAATAATATATGTAGGCCTATTCTGTTCGTGGAAAATGCAACAGCAAGCGTGAATGCAAGCAGTTTGAGGAATTAGTACATTATGTAACTCCGTGGACGTCCCTCTCTCGTCGAACGTCAGAAAGAAAAAAAAAAAAGTTAAAATCTGAAATAAAACTAAAGACACAAGCATGTGCTTTAAGACTACTGTCAGCTCTAGCAAAAAAATAAAACAAAACAAAAAAAAAACATAATACTTTAACCTGTATGAAAACATTTTAAATCTTTAAGTTAAGCGCTTAACTTTAAAATAATCTAAAGGGAATACAAGTAGATTTATTTACACTTTAGTAGTGCCAAATCCCCGTCAGCCTGCAAGGAACAGCTCCGGCATACGCGTTTCCAGAGGTCTGTAGATTCAACAAAAAGTGCCGCGACAAGTTCTTCAAAGTTTTAAAAATCTCCGTAAAGGCGGTCAGGAACTTCGAGATGTTTAGGTCGTACTTGCTCTGTGACAGCGTGTTCAGATGGAGGAGGGGATTCATGGAGGTCCAAATACAGCTCCGCCCCTTCATTCGCATTCATATTGAGCAATTACTCAGCACAGCTTGTTGTTGTGATTTAGATCAACTCCTGCAATGTTTTTTCACAGACTTAGGAGAAATACATAAAACCATGCTTCAAAATGTTAATAGGCCTGTATCTTATCCTTAATTTGAATGCTTTGTAGAAGTAAAAGAGTACAAAAAAAAATAAAAAAAATAATAATTTGGCTCCCAATAAATTAGAATAACAGTGAAAAATATATTTCAAGTCAAAAATGAAACTCAGAAATAGGTTCATTACAGATATATTTTGAGTACTTTATTCTGATATAAATATTACATAAAAGATGTTTTCAACACAAATGTGTGTTTTCTAGCAAAGACTGCTGACCTAACAGTCAATGGTACACAAGGAGTGTTTATCAATGGAAAGTTGAGCGGAAAAGTGTAGTAGAAGCACCAGCATTGACTTAAGATACATCTACAGAATAGAAACAAACAAAGGAATCGCCTTTGTTTCAAGTATTTGTGCCAAATTCAAAAGTCATGTTGACAAAATCTGTGCTTCAAGACCCATCCCACACTGACATATTACAGACATGGCTACTGCTGACACATTTCTTGCATTATGCCACTTCTGTACCAGACAACACCAGAACCATCTTACAAACAGTCCAGCCCGTTTGCAAAAGGGGCAAACGGGCTGGACTGGTCAGAGATCCAAAGCAGTCTAGCAGGTAAAAAATAAATAAATAATAAATAAATAAAATTAAACATGTCAATGTTCTCCAAGTTTAAATATATCTAATGGAAGAAATACACTATATTGGCAACAACACAAGCAAAAATTAAAAAGATCAAACCAAAGTAATTATAAAGGAAGTTATGGGTGAAAAACATGACTGATGAATGGAATAACACTTGGTTAAAAGGTACAAAGGCATAGAAAGTCTAGAAAGCAGTTGCAGGTTATCAATACTTAGAAAGCTTAGAAAAGCAAAATCACTGCACAAGAATCCATTACAGAAGAAAAATTACATTGAAGCCGTTTTAAAGTTTGAACATTTAGAAAGGCCAGTATAGTACTAGCAAAATGTCTGATCAAGTGAAGCTAACGCTGAAATTACGATCATGAAATGACAAATGATATTCTTGATAAAAATCTAAAGATGAAGCAGGTGTGGCCAGTAGTCCAAAGACATATCTTTCCAGATTTTACAAAAAGGTAAACTGCTAGAACAACCAGTTTTCTATAAACTTGGAAGTTTGTGGGAAAAAAAAGTAAAGATCAGTTGTACACAAAAATCACTACAAATATGTCATGATTTGAAGAGTTTGGGTGATAGAAGAGGTCAAAATCAAACCTGACCAATTTATTAATTTCTCAAAACAGATGTTTTGAATTACAAAAGTTTCTCTACAAAATGTTTCATACTTACTCAAATTATCTTCCTAGTCATTTTAGGAGTAATTTTCTTTATTAGGTGTTGAAAACTCACAAATCTCTAGAACAAAACTTTAAACTTTATGTTCAAAAACCCTGCATGTGTCTTTCAGCTCTGACCAAAAATATGAAAAGCCAAAATGGATGGCCAGAAGAGGTTGGCTATAACAGCTGAAATGAGCAGTTAAGATTAATTTTATTTGTGTAAAATGAATCTAAATAACTCAGACGTCTTGAATTACTGGTATAAGTTTTGGTGCTGTAGTATATTTTTCCCTTTAGGGCAGGAAGACAACAATCATTTACAATCTATATTTTATTCACAGGTAAAACAACATTAAAAATATAACTTACATACTACCAGAGCCTTTTGGATGTGATGGCGGTGCTTATGGTTTAGATTGGAGTCAAAAAAAAACAAACAAAAAAAAAAAACTGTTACAGAGCACGAGTAACTTTGCCTTTTAACACAATCAGAAGAAATGGTTCCAAAGAGTAAATATCGGCAGTCAAAAACTCAAATGGTGGAGTTAAGACTTCAGAGATAGAATATTTTCAAAATCGTACTCAAGATGACACATTTTTACTCCTAATAAATTATGGGTTTTAAATTTCTTTTCAAAGTATACTTTCTGAGTTTGCAAGACGGAATTACATTTCAGCTTCGTGCCCATGGGCTGTCAAGAACACTATACATTATTTACAATATTTACAAAAAGAGTCCTCTAATCGTGTAAGTGTAACAGGTGCTGAGTTTAAATTCATGTATGCAAATGTACATTTTCCTAGATTCCCCCATCATTGGCGTTAAATGTTCAGAGCAGCAAAAAATGTCAAGGAAAAATAGTCTCTGGTTGTTTTCTGTTATTTCACTTCCATGAGCTGCTTAATGTCTTTAACGCCGTGCTCTTCTGCCACGGCGATGATGTGGTCCAGGGCGTTCACGCGTCCCAACATCCTCACCACTTCCCTTACTTGCTCCCTGATGGTGGACATGGGATGTAAGAAATACATTATAACAACATGTAAATCATTTAACATTTAACAAGGTATTTAAGTGAAACAACAATAGAAACTATTCCAAATGAGAAAAACCGTCTTCAGTATTATTTAGAGCTACTTACCTAGTGGTGCGCCGCTCGTTATCAGACGCCCCCACACTGCTGCGGTGCAGTGTGTTGGCCAGATGTGTGAGGTAGCGACACAGAGGCTCCAACTGGGGCAAGGTATGCTGGCCTTTCAGCCCAGAGAACCACTGGGCTGGCAAACACTCCACCACCTGAGAGGAGGACAGCGAATCATAACGCCGCAGATTATGTCACCGAGTTAAAAATAAAAACTAATTTGTCAAGAGCTTTTCAAGAGGAACTAAATATCTTTAAAAAATGTATATATCAAATTTAAAATAAAAAATGCATTTGTGCTTAATATGTAGTTTGTTTTGACATGCAATACCTAATGTGTCAATTAAGCTAAAAAAAAGCAGAAAAAGGATATTCCAAATAAAAAATATTTTCTTAATTTCTTTATAACTATTTAGACAAGAGACTTGTACACCTACAAGTTGAAACAATAACTAATGCTACTTATTTAATAAAGTTAGTAACATCAAATCTAATTTATTTATAAAGCACCTTAAAAACAGTCAACTTAATAAAAGTTCCGCATTCACAGAATTTAGATTTTGTTAATGCATATTTATACAACAATAAAAAAAACTCCACACCAGCTTCTCCCCTTCACATAATTGGAGACAGAAGAGAGGCAGAGAAAGACAACAATTTCCAAACTTTTTTTTAAATTTTCCATCTGAATTTCTCACCTTCTGGCATTTCTGCACGTTCTCCTCTCCGATATCTGTGGTCTGCAGCGCGGACAAGATGTATCTGTTAAGAGTGCTATCCAAAGCCAGATCCTTCAGACAGGAATAGGATAAGATGCCATCCCACTGAATGATGTTGCCCAGCAGCTATGCAAAGAGAGCAAAAAAGTAAAACATCATCCTAATGTTGTTCATAAAAAGTTCTGATTTCCTGAATGAAATCAATCAATCAAGTTTATTTGTATAGCACATTTCAGCAACATGGCAGTTCAAAGTGCTTTAAACCGTGAGAGTAAAGAAAAAAAAAACATCATAAACTCGTATAATCAGCAGCTGTGAAAACCAACAACAGACATTACATTTTGTCAAATCAACAATACACATCAAATATGTTGATCAATATTAAATTTATTATGGCTGAAAAGTAATTCAATTGATTAGTGAAAGTGCAAGTTACTCTGTAGTACAGTCCTACTCTCATTTGTTTTTGATGATAATTTTTCTTTAGACAAAAAAATGATGCCTGGACACTTTTTGTATTTTTTAGATCAAGTGCTTTTCAATACTAAAAATTTCTTTATGCTTAGTCAGACAAAAATAATAAAATTACATTCCATAATCACCCAGACCACAACTTATGAGTGAGTTAGTGTGTCTTAATCTGATTTAAGAATATAAAAACAGCATAAAAGTGCCAATAAATGCAGATACCTTTACACAGGACCAGAACTGTCGCTGATAGAACAGGTATGCACCACTGTTCTTATTGTCCATCACACTGCATAAAAGAAAACAGTTTCTTATGATGATTAGATCACCAAGAATTAAAACTGAGCTTCAAATTCTAACATTTTTCTGACATACTTTTTAGGGTAAAGTGGAAGCAAGACATCCTCATCCAGAGTCCGTCTGGTCCGTAAGACTATTGTTTTCAAAAGCTCCTAGAAGACAAAGGTAAGATAGTTACAATAATTTTATAATACTAAGCACATGTAGCTTAAATATTTTACATGGCTGAAATAATTTGCATGAGTACATAAAAGTATGTTCTACCTGTGTGTACTGGTTGTCTCCATGCAGCACAGTTGGATAACCTTCAGCGAGTCTGTGAATGAAGCTCACCAGCCTCGTTGTCTGACTGCTTGACAGCGGGTCCCACACTTGCTCTGCCAGTACTGCCACAAACAACATGACACATGTTGTAATCGTTTGGCCAAGACAAATAATTTTTAGTATCCCTTGCTGCAGCACAGGATTCACTACCTGATAGTTTGGAGAGAAGAACCTTCTCTACAATAGCAGGCAGCAAGCCGATATCCCCGTCGTCTTTTTCAAGCGTTCTGTGCTCCTCAAATCCATAAAACAGAAGCGACTCAAACCATAGCATGTACTCGAAGTTTGCACACGGCTCCTATATGAAAATAAAAGAAATTCAACCAGAGCTCAGAATTAAGGACCTGGTTTTCAATCAAAAAATTTGAATGAACAAATGTTTCTTTACCTCGAGAGGGTTCCACGTGATGAGCTGCAGACGAACTAACGGGTTAAAGAGCTTCGGTAAACAGAGGCCGATGTAAGCGTCTCTGTAGCAGTCCGGGTATTCTCTTCTCCAGACCTCAAAACGGGATTTGATGCAGTCAAGAGAATGAAAGTCCTCCACCACATCCTCAAATACTTTTTTACTTTCTGCCTTGATGCGATCTGGATGGGACAAATTTTGAGGACTGTTCATTTCTCAAGTTTTTTGTTGGCATTTCAATGTTCTCTTCAATAATTAGTAGTTTTCACAGTTTTGCAGAAATTACCTCTCTCCATGTTGAAGCTGGTGATATCTGTAGAGGTTTCTTCATCATCAGAGGACAGGCCTTCTTTATGCTCAGCCCTTTTTCCATTCTGCTCTCTAGCCTGTCGCCGACGAGTTCTGGATGCACACACACAGAAGTAAAAGCTTTAAGAGAAGTACCATAGTGACCAATACTGCAACTTGAAATAAGTCAGTTTGACCTCTCAAGTATTTTAAAAACAATTTAACCTTCCTAAATAGACTTTCCATAGTTTACACTTTAATATTTTCCAAAGTACAAAAAAGCTTGCTTTAACAATTCTTCAGTTATGGTATATCTGTAACATTAAATATTGCAAACTCATAGTTTTACAAAAGGAAAAATGTGTCCATAACATTCCTGAGCAAAATTTGGTAGAACTAATCTAAATTTTCTTTTACAGTGAATTACTGAATTTTTACAGTAAAATTCACTTTTACAGTGAATTGCTCTAACTGATCAAATATCTTCCCTACCCCCCAAAAAAATTCTGAAAGTTACAAAGTTGTTGTTTAGCGTTTCAGAAGGCAGCTACAATTTAAATTACTAAGCAAGAATTATGCATGAAATTTATTTTCCCTGTGGCTTATTATTTTTTATTTTCACAATCAAATTTTCATTCTACCTTAAGCTTGAAAGAGAAAAAAAGGAATGAAAAAGCAAATTACTGATTATTAGTCTGATTCTTCCTCAACATAACCCTCTGAAAAATTACCCCCTCTGGTGGCTCTGGGGAGTATAGGAATCTCTGAGGTTTTTAAAGTTGAAAGAGTGAAGTCGTACTACCTTCTTGCTTCTCTTTCAGCTATCCTCCTCTGTCGACTGTTCTCTTGGTATGCAGCACGATCTCGACCGAATGAGTCCAGACTGGGCGCCATGACTGCTTTATCTGAAATAAACAGGGTGAATGTTAAAGCCAGAACTGAATAGTGGAACAAAACCCTTGAACTTTTTTCTATTTGGGATCTAACGATAACGACATAAGCAAAATGTGTAGAAAATAAAAATGTTAATGCATGATAAAAGTATTAGTTTAAAATATGTGAACTTTCCAATTCTTTCAGTATATACTCAATCTGTCAAAAATTTTGGTGTAACATTTCTTAAAACTTACCGTGCTGTAACTGCAGACATGTTACAGTAAATTATGTTAACCTGTTAGTCAGAAACCAATGTTGTTTGACATCTTTATTTTGTTGCTCATTACTTGAGGCAAGTTAAAACATCCAGCTGCAAAAGTCAGCAACTCTGAAAGGTCTTTTCCCATTATCATACATGCTCAATCACACAAATTATCAATCACTTCACTTTAATCATATTCCCAATAATACTGCGATGTGTGCAGAATGGAGCAGGAATATGAAAACACAAACACGCAAGCATACATTCAGATATAAGGGAAACTAACGAGGCCATTTCAAATAAATCATAAAAACCTTCAAGATGGACTGACTTGAAAGGCTTGCAAACTCCGACGATTCATCTTTAATATCATCCTGTCTTCTCTGGACAAGCCGTGCAGCCCGTTGCCTTAGTAACTGGTGCATGGCAGCCTCCAGCTCCAGGACAGCAGGCACCTGAAAGATATGATGCTTTTTGTGACCTCTGACCCAGCAAAGGTGGGACTCCGAGTCAGTGGGGCTTCTTTGGTCGGACAACTTAAAAGACACATGATGGACAAAACACTGCTGAGAAAAAAAATAAAAATAAATCTTGGAGTAAAAAAAAAAAAAAAACAACAAAACAAACTCAATTATTAATGCTGACTCCATCAAGTTAACCTTGAATGTTGTAGACTGAAGTTGAAACAAGAGTGGAATGCAGAAGATACAGAAAGCACACCATTCCATTACAAACATTATATACTAAATGAGAACAGAACATGGTTTCAGATCCACTCATCAAAATCTTTTGTGAACTATGAGCTGAAATCTGGTGCTGCAAGATCAAGATTAAATTATTCTGTCTGAACATGCATGTTGTTGTAAATATATTCGAGATGCACCAATCAGAAAGCTGAGGCAGATTTTTGCTCTCTGGTTTTTGTAAATCATGCAGATCTACAATTTGGCCAATTTTGACATCTCCCTCAGCCTTCATACCACGAGCAGCCATTCAAATTTTACATTATGGGCTGAGACAACATCATGGCGTGCTAGAGAGCAGTTGCTGAAAAACAGGCTTTACTGTTCTTTTTTAAGAAAGGACTAAGTTGAAATGATAAATTTTATTTAGCATCTTAAAGTAGCCATTAATGTAATTAGTGTTACTGAAGATGCAGTTATTTGAATTCCCTAGAAAATATTGATCTCTAGACTAATATTCACAAAAGGTTGCCAAACTTACTAAATCATGTATGTCTAAAAACAGAAAAAAAAGTTAATATCTCAAAAGGTTAAAACTGAGCAGTTTTGCTGTACTGGTTTGAGCCTTGATGTTGTCTGCTGAAAATGTCACTCTCTTGAAACCTGAATAAACAAGATTTGTTTTCAAGAGTAGTAGAAGACATTCATTTTAAATGGATTCTTACACCTTTGGGCATCCTGTGACAATTTTGAAAACCTCACATGCTTTGAACCAACTTCACTCAGTATCAAGATCCAAAATGAAGAGGGTTGCTGACCATTGCACCTGGCTCTTAAGTACATATACGTGATGCAATAAATGACTGGAAAAAGGTTTGTGAGCTTCTAACTGGACAGTCCCAGGTCAAGGACAGGTAAGCTGGAAACCATATAAATCCGGTCAACAGACAATTTCTCTGTGCATCTCTAAAATTATAAAGATTTATCTTGAATGCATGAGATATTTTCATTTTATTATATAAATCTTTACTCATCTTGTTTGTTCCTGAAATGACTTTCCCCAATTCACTACATTCTATTGTGTAAGAAAAATATTTTTTCTATGTTGCATGTGGATTACAATTCAATTTATTTTTAAGACTGCATCTGTTTGAAATTCACATAAAAGTTCCCAGATTACAGACACAAAACAGCAAGCAGCTTATCAAACTGCAGATAAATTCTCCCTTACCTTTTCACTGAAACACTCAAGCAAGTCTCCAACATACCCTCGCATTTCTTGCAAGAATTTGTATCGATCTGCATTATCATTGGATGAACCCTCAAGCTGATGGATGGTGCTCTCAGAGGCCTCTAGTTCATCTCTTATCTGTTCGTAGCGTTTGATGTTCGCGTTGTGGCCTGCATGCATTTGGGTAAGCCTAAAGACACATGAAATACAGGGGAAAAGAAGAGCTAATGGTGAGTGAGACAGGGACAGAGCGAGACAGTCAAAAAGAGACCAATCTAAACTCATAGTGGAGACATATTTTGCCTCGTGGCCATTTCACATGTAGACAGCTTTGCTGGGTCATCGGGATCAAGGGCAGCAGGTGAGGTGAGCACTGATATTAGATGTTGTGGCAAACTTCTGCAGAACCTACCTATCCTGCAAGCGCTTCTTTACCAGATCAATGGACACGGGAGTTAGATCACAAATAGGAGCCCCATAGCGAACAGAACCATTGTCAGAGAGGCTGGGAATCTTTCCAGGCTGTGGAGCCACTGAACTGTAGGTGAAAGGCATACTGTAGGAGGAGCCGTAGGGCTGAGTTTCATAGCTGTTTTGGTAGTAGGCTGTGCTGTCCTCTGGCTGACTGCTTTGAACCTGGTCAACAAAAATAAAATATAAGCTTGATTAATATCACTGCTAAATCAAAAAGCAACAACAGATTTAAAAAAAAAAAAAATCACAATGGTTCAAACACACTTTTCTTGTGAAGATATTTGTCCAGGAGTAAATTAGCTCGAAGTTCTCAGTTCACTTTTGGGTGATTTTTAAAGCACAAACACAAATGTTCAAACACAATTATTTCTATTGAGGTCAGGCTTTAAAAACAAAAACAGTAAAAACCAAGAAGGAAGCTCACAAGAAACATTTGGACAATTTTACAATCAAAAATGTCCAAAACCAGAAGTTTTGTCTTTTAATCATATCTTCCTCACATCAGAAATCTGATTTCAAAATAAGTATCTAACAAAGAAACAGACAAATTTTGTTTCTCTAATTGAGAAAGTGGGGTAAATAGCTTAAAAAAATTAACATAACCTCTTACCACTGCAACTCAAAATTTCAAAAATGATACACATAATTTCAAAAACCCAACATGAAGTCAGAATATTTCACTGCATGTGATAGATGCTGCTCACCTGGGGAATGCTGATTCCTTTCCTAATCTGTTCTTGCTCCCAGCGGCTTACTTCCTCATCTTGACCTGTATCCAGTGCTTCGTCATCACTACCCTCAATACCTGTGCACATTTAGAGAGGACATCTGTCTCAGCTAATAGTAATTAATGCGGATAAATGTATTTGCAAAATTAAGCACTTCATGGCAGTACCTATCTCTTCAGCTATCTTCTGTCTCTGACTTTTGTTCTTGACACCACTAAAGCGGATCCTCTTCTCGTCTTCATCTTCATCATCGCTGCAGTCCCTGTCTTCTTGCGTCATACGTTTCTTAGAAGGCTCGGCCTCCACCAGAGGAGCTTCCCCTCCGAGCTCTCTCGCAAGCTGCCGACGTTTCCTAGCAGCATGGATGAATGCTGCATCAGGAATTTCTCCTGAGGTAGAAGCAGGAAGTGGTCAGCACTTAACACACTTCTACATGCGAATATGAAAACATTTTTCAGGCTCTGAAGACACACACACACACATATATATGTATATATTTTTTAAACGTTATTAGCTGCAAGGTTAGTGAGGGACTTAACTTAAAAAATATGACAGCTAACTCCAGCTAAACCAAAGAGTGCAGACCAAACTCTGGAAAAGATTTTTGAAGAGAAGGTTTTAAAATAGGAAGACTACCTGGCTTCAGGCTTGTGAGAGATGACAGTGTGTTGAATGATGATCCTACGTTCCTGCCCCTGGACAATTGACCCCCTTGAGCTTTTGCTTCTTCATCCTGTTCATCTCCACTCTCCACTTCCATCTCTTCCTCTCCGTGTTCACTGCTGCCTCTGCTGATAGCCTCCTCTTTCACAGTAAACACAGGCTGAGGGGGAGCATCTGAAGGAATAAATGAGTCAAAGGGTAATCTTAAAGGAAAAGCATTTTTTGACTGCATCATATTTATTACTACAGAAAATTTGTATATATTCCAACTTGCATTTGAACAATCTGTGCAAAAACAATCTAGAGCAGGGCTTCACAAGTTCAGTCCATGAGAGTCCTGCAATTTTTGGATCCAGTTCTTCTCCATAATACTAAAATCAAATAGCTGAATTCCATCTTCATTCTATTCCATCTCCATATATATTCGTATAGTCCCTTTAATAACTACCATACTGACGCAGATTAATTTTTATGCGGGCAGATATGATCTCATTGTGTTGCATATTAATAACAGTGGATCTCACCAGATTTGGTTTCCTGTTTGACATTTCCCGATTTCTGCAAATCTTCTTTGTATTCTTTCTTCAGCTGCTTGACTATCTTCTTGCTGTGATTGGGTTTCTTCACGCGGAATACCTCGGATCCCTCTGTTAACATGACCAGACAGACAAGACATGAGACAAGGTAAGACAAGAAGAACATTCATTAAAAACGTGAATGCACAATCTATTTTGTGTTGTAGCTATATGAAAAAGATTCAAAATCGCTATTGTGGCTAAAGTTGAGTGGTTAGCTACGTTAGCACTGTTACCTTCGTCATCGTCAAAACTCAACAAACTGGCTTTAGTCGGAGGAACTACCACTGGAACTTCTTTGCACTTCTTTTCCTTCTTCACGGGTCTCATAATGTTCAGGTTTGACAGAAAGCCGTTACTGAAACAGTTTTCCTCGCTGCTTGGAGCCCCGCTGGTCTCAATGAACGGGATTTCAACCACAGGCCCGAAAGAGGTGGGCGCAAAAGACTGCGGCTGGCTCTCCTGCTGCTCGTCCTCGTCGGAGTCATTCCTCCGCCGCAAGTTAGCTCGTTTCGCCCTTTTGAACATTGTGCTAATCCCTTAAGGAAAAAAGCGCGTAACGCAACAGCCGAACAATATAAATAAAGCTTATAAAACAGATATATCAGACGCACACTGCATGGCGGCCATTTTCTGTCTGGGTGCTCGCTCGTTTTTTCTTCTTTGACAGTAAAAGTGGAACACAGCTGATCTTGGAGAGATACTGCCATCAAGTGGGCACAATTGTAATAGACGCCTGGTACAGACGCCCAACAAAAAACAAGTTTCGATGTTTGTTTTACTTTGTGGAAAACCAACAGAAATAAATCAAAGGTATGACACAAACTAATTTACGTAGCAGTATAGTAAAATATAAATTAGAAGACCATATTGCTCTGTTCATTGAATTTTTCAGATCACACAGAGCAACAGTGTCAATTATTAGGCTTAAAACAGAGAAACAGTGAACTTTGCCTTTCAGATTCAAATACCTGCATAAAAACCCCATTAAAATCATTTTTAAATTAATTTGCTTCTTCTATATCTAACTGCTAGGTACATGTTCTTATATTTTCTGTGTTCTGAGATTTTTATCTAGATGTTTATTTAGTTTATTTATTTTGAATGGCATTTTATAACAATATTTCTGTCATTCGTTCATAGGTGTAAATTATTCTGCACTTGCAAGTGCTTTCAGACTTTAGGAAACTGTTACACCTGGTTGTGTAATCTGATAGGCGGGCCATGTTTTATGGAAATCAAACATTTGTTCAAATTAACAAATTATTGTGACTTGTAAATACGTAAAAAGATATAAAAGCATTTTCAGATCAGCTGCCCAGCAGTGTTCAGCTGCCAGATGGATTGCAATACATTTTGTGGTTCAGGCACTTACAAAAAAAAAAAAAAACATTAATGGGCTGACACAGGGCTTAGTGGTGTTGATGTCTCGATATTGAAAATAACTTAGTAAATTAAAGCACCATCAAAGACGTAGCTGGAGTAAAATTTTGATTAATTAACAAGAAGATGACCTTTTAGCCTTAATGATGATGATTGGTGATAAATAGCTTTCAATTAAAAATAGCATTTGCATTTTAATACCTCAGAGACCCTCTTATTCTTTTCCATCTGCAAATCTAAAATATATTAATATTCTGTTGCAATGGAAAGATTTCAAAAACAGAAAAATTTACTCTCTAAAAATATCTGGTGGAAATATAATGCAATGTATGTTAATATGCTTTCCCAGTGCTGTATCAAATATGGAGAGATCCATGCCAGAAAATCTTCAACACAATTGTATTTGGTTGCAGATTTTGCCAATAATACCTGTAGCTATATAAAATTGATTGACAATATTGACCCAGAACCTGGTGTTATTATATATAAAATAAAATGAATGATCCATCATTGAAGACAAGCAGAAAAGAGAAGCAAACAGAATGTCCTTGCTGAGGAAGTAACACTAACAAATACACCACTGTGCACCACCACATAAATGACTTTTGGCTCTCTCAGACAGTTGGAATAAAAAAATACAAAATTAAAGACAAAGAGAACATGCTCATTATTTTAAATTTATTCAAAGTGTAAATGTTGAACATAACTAGCACAATAAAGACATTAGCAGTCATTTCTCGATTCTGACAGTCTGGCGCCATCAACAGTGCCTTGACCTTGGAAAAAACAAACAAACAAACAAAAAAACATATGTGTGATGTTCTTTTGTATTTTAAACAAAACGTGCAGTTAATCTAAAAACCACTTGAAGGCGCTGCACCCCTTTGAAAGCAGAAAAAAAAGTGTTTAATTTGTGGCCAAGGTATGCTCATAGTTCACTAAGGTACACTGAGGTATAAATGCTAATGAAATACAATGACATTTCCTGATCCAGTGAATCTGAATCAAGCCAGAATGAATATAGATGACATCAATATTGTCTTCTCAAATGTTCATCACACTGTTCTCCTTGTTTTTAACAAGAGACTGTAGCTTTGTATCAGATAAGTATTTGCATATGAAGAAATACAATTCAAGTTTTATTAGTTATATATCACACACTGCTTACCTGTTCCTGAGAGCATGGGGGAACATGATCAAAGAAAGAAAGAGCCTGCCTGTCTTCTTTAAGAAGTGACAGGAATCATGTGAAATTGCTCCCACTGGATGCAGTCATTGTAAAAGCAAAGCCATAGGAGCTGCACTTTCATTTGCAGCAACAGAACAAGCATCAGGATTGAATAACTGTAATTATTAAATACCCTCTTGGTGTCACAGGGTAACAAAGATAGAAAAGAGAAGAAAATAGATGTTCTAATGGAAGTACAAGAGGATCACAACCTTCACCTTTTACACTGAGTCTCAATTAATGCAAGCCTATGAACATTAGTTTAAACAAAATGAAGGCATAATTGAACACTTTTCATCATGACAGCTGTGTGTATGTTAGCTTTTCTTTTTCTAATGGAGTCAACTATTTTGCATCTGGCATTGACTCCCACTCACTGCGGCTATTACTGTGCTTTTGAAACCAACGAACAACGCAGCATCACAAACGTAAGGGCAAAGCTGCAGAAATGCTAGGTGACTAATTATGCTTCTATCTAAAAAGGATCAAGATTCACTCAGGTAATTTTGGTTTAAACTCTCTAAATCCCTTTTGCTTGCACAATGCATTATTTATCCTTCTGTAGAAGATAAATAATTAGGACACATGCAGTATAGGCTTGACCATTCTATGACATACTCATTACAATACAAACTCAAGTAAGTACACAAATGCTTGGAAGTTTTTAGTAATTGTTCAGGCAGGAGACAGGTAGATAAAGGGATAGGGAGCCAGTGTGAGAACTTCGGAAGAGGTGTGATGTGCTCTATTTTCCTAGTTTTAGAGACATTGTGAGCTGCTGCTGATTGACTTTTTAGGGAGACCTGTGAAGACACTGTTGCAGTAATCAATTCAACTAAAGACAAACAAATGGATGAGTTTCTCAAGATCTTGCTAGGACATTGGTCCTTTAATCCTAGAAATTTACTTCAGATGATAGAAGGCTGACTTTGTAATTGTCTTTATGTGTCCCTGGAGGTTCTGGTTTGTGTGCATCACAACACCCAGATTGTGGGTCTGGTTAGTGGTTTCTTGCTGCAAAGGCTAAAGCTGTGTGGTGAATCTCATTCCTCTTTTGGTCTGTTTCTGTTCAGCTAAACAAAGTTATGGCAATAAACAAATAAATAAATAATCATGGCAACTCCTTTCCTAAATGTATTAACCAACTTACAAAATTAAGTGCAAGTTGCAAAAAATGTCTCAGAACAGAAAGAATCAAATATGGCCAATGGACTCAAAGACAAGTGAGCCTCAAAATTAATATTCTGCTCAAAGTCTCATAAAATGTTGGGCTTGCTGGACGTGTTTCATCTCTCCCACAAGCTGTGGATCTCTACAGCTCCCCCAGAGTTATCATACAGTGTTTCTCTTATTAATGCTCTCCTTGCAGTCTGTCTGCTTAGTCAGACAACATTTTGGTAAGTTTGCAGCTTTGCCATGTTCTTTCCATTGTCAGATGATAAATCAATTGTCCTATGTGCAAAGAAACTCTCCAGCTGTGTTAATATTACAACATAATATAATGCTCAAAATAGTTGATTTTACATATTAATTGAGCCTATATTTGAATATGTGTTTATTGATAAATGTAGTTTTGAAAATACAATGATCATGTTTTATTGTATTTTCATTCCACCCCAAAGAACAGATCAATGCATCATAACAAGTAGGCTTGACATTATAACAAATTTTGCTGAACATGAAATTGTTCCAGAAGTTATCATGGTAAACAATCATATTGTTTATTGCAATCACATCCACTAAAACTGAATTTTAATGAATATTTTACCTATCCAAGAAATAAACAAAATAACAGAAACAACAAGTGAAATTAATAATGAAGTTGCCAAACAAATGTGTCCTTCAAGAAAAATGATCAGTTCATAGGACTGCACCAAATTGAAACCGTTTTTCAGCCAGTCTTTGGTAGAAATAGAGAGAGAAAAGTGTAAATTCATGCAAATAAAAATGATTGAATTAGTTTGAATTTAACATGTGATTAAATGAAATTTCTGTGCTACAGCAGCAGAAAACCTCACTGTTTGCAACTCATGCCAACTAAAAAAATTGATGTTATACTAACAAAGATTTTTCTAGATGATATTGGATTGGGAAAACATTGCATGGTTAGATGAGTCTTGATTTCAGCTGTAACATTCAGCTAACATTTCTTTCTGGGTTTGACATTAACAACATTGAAAGTGTGCACTAAGTGTGTTGATGATGGGTAGAATTATACTAATGTGGAAGATATTTTCTTAGCAGGTTTTTTGAAATAGGGGATCATTGAATCCAAGCAAAGCATATCTAATATACTGGTGTATGAATGTGTTTCTTCATGTTTCCTTTCATGTGCTTTTTATCATTTCTTTTTAACAACTTTTAAAGTACCAAGAAAGTCTCCAGATGTTTTAATATTTATGCAGAAACATCAAAAACTCTACAGGCTCCACACAAAACTCAACTGTAACTGATTTGTTTGTTTGAACACAAGCTGTTAGATCACAAAGGAACCCAAGGGCTCAGACAAAGAAACACAGCATGCTACAGAGTGCACATACTATTTCCAGTGCTATTTGTAGAGGTGTTTTGATCATCAAATGGTATATATCATTTTCTCATGCTGCTTGATGCATTTTGCGTACATTTGACAGATGTTCTATTTGAGTGTGGCAGTGGGAGTATTTGTATATTTCTTCTTGGCCTTCCTTGGCTGCTCTTGTCACGGAGCAGAGCTTACTGTGTCTGACAGTGTGAGTTGATTACGCCAGAGTTTGTCTTAAACGCTAACCCGTTATCATGAATATGCAGTGACCCCCAAGTGCTTCCTTCATGCATTAGAATACAAGTTGACATTATGCATTTTATGCTTCTTTGCCACGCTCTTCCACCATTCTCTTCAGCTGTCGCCCTTTCTTACTAACTTTACCCATTTCCTAAGCAATACAGTTGTTTTTTTGTGCTGCTCCATAAAACTGCAGATAGAAATGATAAGCATAAACTTTAAAAGGAAGTCTGAGGGGAAACGTTCTGTGAAACTGCTGTGTAAGCAACATCTCAGATCCT